TGCAATGTTTCTTGTCTTTTTGCACCAATGTGGTTTTCAGGTTTTTTGAAACCTTTTCATAATATTCCCCATGATAGTTCTGTGCCCTTCAAGATTTCCCTATTTTGGAATTCCCCCAAACAGAACTTTCTGCCGTGTACTTGACTGCCCCAGCAAAACCCTTTGGAAGCCACTATTTTGATTGGAACTTGCTTTCTGTATCTAATTAATGAATCCCAGACTCATGCCCAGTTACGATTCATTCCATAACATCATTTTCATTAGCTTCAATCTTGCTTAAAAGACTTATGGAAAGATCAGCTCTTTGACTAACTGATCTTTGAGTAATGATTTTGGCATCCATCAAGCCTGAAACTTACTGAAGTCAAGATGTTGACTCACAATTTTAAATGTGGAAACTTGTGAGATCCCAGCTTCAGTACCGATCACATCAATATTAGTTCTTTGGTTTTCTTCCATCAGTTTCTGGACTTTAGCCATAGTTTCTTCATTCACCAAGGTTGAAAGTCTTCCCTTTCATGGCTGATCTTTGATGTCAATTTGTCCTTTCTTAAAATTCTTGAACTATAAAAACTTCAGTGTTTGGGAATATGTCTACTTGAGTTTTGTTAAAAATGTTATAATAATCCTGACCTCAACATCATCCCCCACCCCCCAAAATGTATTCTTTTTTGGAAAGCATCATAACTAGAGTAATCTCTTGTTGAGAAAACCTGTCTTCAGCCATTCTCTGAGCACAGAGACAAGTTTCAACATATTTTGTTTGGAATAAACTTGTGCATGTAAGAACGGCAACACTAGTAGCAATACTGTTTGATTTACAAGTATACAAAAGTCTTATCTCCATTTACTCTGTCAGTAGTAATAGGTTGACAAGCAAGCCAGTTTTAATTGAGTACTGGTATGGCACTGCAAGGAGCTCTGGTAGTGCAGTGGTTATGAATTGGGCTACGAACATTAAGGTCAGCAGTTCGAAACTACCAGCCGCTCCACAGGAGAAAGATGAGGCTTTCTGCTCCCGTAAAGATTTACAGTCCTGGAAACCCTGTACAGGATCGCTATGGGTCAGAACCAACTCAACGGTGCTTAACTACAGCAACATGACACTATAGGATAAGCACTGGTTGTTGGTTCAAACCTACCAGCTGCTCCTTGGAAACCCTATACTGTGTCAATATGGAACTGACTTGACAGCACTTAGAATACAAACAAATGGATATTGCTTGAGAATATGTATATGTTAGAAAAGATAGTGTGAGCATGCCTTGTTATATTTAACTGATATGTCTCAGGAATGTATGCTGTTCCCAACAGTGATATAAACTCTGGAGCCACAGCTGTGTAAAGGTAAGTAACACCTGAATGGAGAGAGACTAAGAGGAGAGGTTACATGTTAGCTATAAGGGCCTTGGGCATTCTCACACTGTGCACATAGGTGCCAGTCAGTAGGTGGCAATGGTGGATTTTTGCTCAGCTGGTCCAATCATTCCAAAGACTTACTGCCTGGATATAGTTGTTATAGCATGAAAAAGTCTCCTGATTATAAATTTTAATGGAATTAGAGTCATATGAAAATATGATTTTAGTGTTGGTGGCATAGTGGTGAGCACAACTGCCTAGTAGAGCACACTTTTGTTTTACAGGCTAATTATACATTTCATTTTGTGGACAAGATAAAGACTTTATCAGAAACACTGCTGAACATGTCTAGCCTTTTTCAGAGAAGGGGAAATGGCCAAATGCTTAACCAATTCCAGGTAAGTGATGAATCTTTGTCACTTTCGTCTTGTGAAAAAATTAGAATTGTCCTTTAGAAGATTCTACAAAATCATATCTGGCATAAATGAGCTAGAATGAGCTAAGTATTTAGATTAGAGTTTGTTGTTGTTAAGTGCCGTTGAGTCGGTTCCGACCCATAGTGACCTTACATAGGGTTTCTGAAGAGAAGCTGGTGAGCTTGAACTAACCCTGCGGTTCAAAGCAACTTTGCAGTTCAGATCATTAACCCACAGTGCTATACCAGGACTGCTGTGTTAATCTGGATCTTTCAAGAATGGGGTTGCATCTGCAATAATTTTATTATGGAAACACCTGCTAGAGAAAAAGAGGAGCAGGAAGGCAGGGAGAGGTGTCAGACTGTGGTGTACACTTGGCGCTGACTAAAGGAATGAGGACGGACATTGGAAGGAAGCATTCCAGATCGCCCTGCAGATTAATGAATGTTGGGAAAGACTGCCAGGAAGCTGCAGTCAGCACTCAGAGGAGTCTTGGATCTCCTAGGAATGGGCCTGACTTGTATCCCTTCTACATCCCAGTGTTCATTAACTGTAGCTCTTAGGAGGCATGGGCACAGTGTAGAAGAGACATGAAATTCAGGAAGGTGGATTTCCAAGCATCATGCTTGGGCCTGCTGGATTATGTTTACTGAAATTGGAGGTCTATGATGCCACAGCTACGTAGGTGTTGTTGTTGCTATTATTATTCTTTAACCTGTTTACTCTTTGATTAATTTATTAGTACAGAGGTCAGTAACTAATAAGACAGTAAATATTTTAGATTTTGAGGAACCACACAAAATTGTATACAATGTTAAGTGGCAAATTGAGAATATACAAAGTACTATGAGTCCTGGTGTGGTTCTGTGGGTTAATGCACTGGACTGCAAGGTTGCTTTGAGTCACAAGGTCAGTGATTCAAGCTCACTAGCTGCTTCTAGGAAACACTACAGGGTCACTATGAGTTGGAACCAACTTGAAGGCACTTAACAACAACAACAGCACCATGAGAACATAGGAATCCTGGTGTGGTGTTGTAGGATAGCACCCTGGACCTCGATGTTAGTTTAAACCACAAGGTTGGCAGTTCAAACCTATCAGCCACTCCTCAGAAGCTCTATTTGGGGTCTCTATGAGTCAGAATCAACTCGATAGCACTTAACAACAACAACAATGAGAAGGTAACCCAGGCCCAAACCAATTACCATCGAGTTGATGCCCATTCACAGTGACCCTATGTAGGGCCTCAGAGACTGTATATCTTTACAGGAACAGATAGCCTCGTCTTTCTCTCATGGAACAGCTGGTAGGTTTAAACTAATGGCTTTGCTTTTAGCAGCCCAATGCTTAACCCACTACACCACCAGGGCTCATTGAGTCAGTAAAAGACAATAATTTCTAAATAGGGATGTTGTGGAGATTAAGTGACATATTACATAATAAATTGCCCAGCACAAATTGCCCAGCAAACAGCTAATGTTCAATGGAAGAAGATAACTAAGACTCTTAAAAATACAAAAAGGATCATCAGGTTTCCTAATAGTCTTGTTATCCTTAGAAAACATTTGATACAATTGTTATATGTAATGAGCCAAATGTAAGAAATGAAAGAATAAATTAAGAAGTTGCTGGTTATGTGATAGTTATTTATCTAAAGCTTCTCATGTTTTAAGGTTGTATGGTAAGAGTCATGATCATACATGAATATAAATATACTCTTTGTTGTTGTTGTTATGTGCCATGGAGTCTGTTCCGACTCATAGCGACCCTGTACAGGGTTTCCGAGGCTGTAAATCTTTACAGGAGCAGAAAGCCTCATCTTTCTCCTGCAGAACAGCTGGTAGTTTCGAACTGCTCACCTTGAGATTCGCAGCCCAATTCGTAACCACTATGCTACCAGAACTCCCAAATCAGTCCCTCCTTGTTTCTCAATACTGAGGTTCAACTTCATCAACATTTTGCATTCTAAGTCTTTGGATAATTATTGGATATTGTAGATATGCAAATAAATATATACCAGTTACAAAGCAAAGACACCAAATTTCAGAAAGTGTATGACAATTATTAAGGAGCTCTGATAGCGTAGTTGTTAATGAATCGGTCTGCGAACCGCAAGGTCAGCAGTTTGAAACTACCAGCTGCTCCGCAGTTTGAAATGACCAGCTGCTCCGTAGGAGAAGATGAGGCTTTCTGCTCCTGTAAAGATTTACAGCCTCGGAAACCCTGTTCAGGGTCGCTATGGGTTGGAACCGACTCGACAGCACTTAACAACAACAACAACATGACAATTATTGGAGCCCTGTTGTGGCACTGTAGAATAAGCTCTGGACTTCTAACCACAAGGTCTACTGTTCAAACCCACCAGCCATTCCTCAAAAACCTATACAGGGTCACCATGAATCAAAATTAATTCGGCAAAAACACAAATTAGAAAAACCCTTGGCAAATGAGGCAAAGTTAAAACCATTAATAATGAGATAAAAATGATACAGATAACAAAATAAGAGATGCTTCCAAAGAGAATGATTTAAATATCAAAGATTAAGAAAGGCTTTGGAGAAAATAATGAAACCTCTCTTCAGTATTTTTGTAATAATGACTCCTCTTTATAGTTGGAAGGTGGAAAATATAACGTAAAATGAAAGGTGTTGTATAATATCACCATATAATTTTGTTAAGATATTCTGCCAAAAATGCCACACTGGATTTACTCTTTGTTTTCAGTATTGGTGCAAATTACAATTACAGTCTAAATGATCACTATTGTTTCTTTTTTCAAGATAAAATCCTACAAATTTTGTTCCACAATGTATTGTGATGTGGGGATTTATTGATGTGCCTCTTTTGGTATAGTGAAACTTTGAACAACTCTAAAAAATATTTGATAAGAGGAAATGATGTAATGTTTTAAAACTATTACTTGCTTTTAGGAAGCCCTGAGAAACAAATTTGTAAGAAACTTCATAAAAAGTCAATTGCACATCGATGTAGACAAACTTACTGAGAAGCTTCAGACATACGGTAAGCATGGGGTATCCTAGAATCCACCTGCACAATGGCTCTGCCACTAGGGTCCTAAAACTTTGGTCCCTACATTGCTGGAGACACTGACAAAGCACTTTTCCTCGCCCAGTTCTGGCTTCTCAACTTTATAATGATGTGTTTGAACTAAATCAACATTTCAGAGTTTTAATACCTGAAATTTTCTGATTTGTTTAGCCAGTGTTTGAATAGTAAAGAATTTGTTGTTGTTGTGTTGTTGTTCGGAGTCATCTGTCTAGTCAATTCTGACTAATAGCAACACTGTACACAAGAACAAAACACCGTCTGGTGGTGCGCCATCCGCACAATTATTGTTACACTTGAGTTCATTTCTGATGCCGCTGTGCCTGCTCATCTCAATGAGCGGGGAATGTCTTTCTTTTTTCCACTGGCCTTCTACTTTACAAAGCATAATGGACTTCTCCAGAGACTGGTTCCTCTTGATAATATGTCCAAAGTATGAGCAATGAAGTCTCGCCATGCTGGTCTCCAAAGAGCATTCTGATTGTACTTCTTCCAGCACAAATTTGTTTGTTCTTCTGGCAGTCCATAGTACTTTTAATATTCTTCACCAACACCATTACTCAAATGCATCAATTCTTCTATGGTCATCCTTATTCATTGTACAACTTTCACATGTGT